TGCGGAGTTTCCTGGTGCACCAATTAACCCTTTAGCTGTTGTTTACATCAGGGATACTGGACATACATATTTTTTCAAAGGCAAGTGATTCTCACCTCAGAGTTGAAGGTTAATTTAACTTGTTTAACTTGTTTGTTTCGCCTCGTCTGATTGGTTTAGTTTGTCTTTTATTTTTTTGTTTTTTTGTTTGTTTTGTGTTTTGTCTGTTTATTTGTTTGTTTGTTTTTCCTCATCTGATTTGTTTCTTTTCTCTTTTGTCTTTTTTTGGTGCGTTTCCTGTTTGTTTGTTTGTTTTGCCTTCTCTGATTGTTTTGTTTTTTCTTTTTGTCCTTTTTTCTTGGGCTTTATCTGTTTGTTTGTTTTGCTTCGTCTCTCCGGAGAAAGAACAGGCTTTACGTTTATAGGTGTTACAGGATTATAACACACTGTGTGTGTTTTTTTGTGTATGCGTGTTTTTTGCTTGTGTGTGCGTCGTGTTAGTATGATTAAGTGCAAATGTGTAGGAGAGAAAGAAAGAGACAACGGGGGAGAGAGAGGGGAGGAGAGAGAGAAGAGAGAGAGAGAGAGAGAGAGAGAGAGAGAGAGAGGGAGAGAGAGAGGAGAAGGAGGAGGAGGAGGAGGAGTATAGACAGTATATTATGTGTGTGCAAGTGTGCTTGTGTATTTAGACGTGTAATTGTGTGTGTGAGTGTGTGTGTGTGTGTGTGTGAGGGTGTGTGTGTGTGAGTGTGTGTGTGTGTGTGTGCACGTATGTGTGTGTGTGTGTGTGTGTGTGTGTGTGCACGCATAGGTGCCTATAGGTCTGTGTGTATGCTTGTTTATGTGTGTGTGCATGTGTGTGTGTGTATGTGTACGTGTGTTAAACAAAGAATGAGAGAGAGGAGAGAGTGAGAGAGAGAGAAAGAGAGAGAAAGAGAGAGACAGAGGGGGTGGAGAAAGAAAGAGAGAGAGAGAGAGAGAGACAGAGGGGGGAGGGAGAAAGAGAGAGAAAGAGAGAGAGAGAGAGAGAGAGAGAGAGAGAGAGAGAGAGAGACAGAGAGAGAGAATAATATTATGTAAAAATATTTGGGTCATGTACATTTCTTATCAAGTCATATATACACTCACATGTATAATGTGTGTTTTTTTATTTTGGTATTTTACCACGCTCACCAGTGCATAAGGTCACATGAATGCGCAGGACTCATTTAACATATTCATTTGGAAGGAATCAATTCTGAATGTTGGCCTGGTGGCCGAAGCCTACTCTTTTCGATTTTGGACCACCAAGGGATCTTTAAGGTGCGAAACTTTTACACTGTACCTCCGAGATTTTTTTTCTTTCGCCCTCATCCGCAAAGGCTAGGTGTTAGATCTTACCTAATCTCAGATCAGAGGTGTTGCTGAAAGATAGTAGTAAGTAGGAAACAAGGATTAGTAGTAGAAAGGCTGCAGAAAGAGTCGGGGGTGGGGGGGGGGCAAAGAGGGAGGGGGAACAGTAATTGGAGACGAGAAAGCACACCACAGAACATGGTTAGAGAGCAGGAAGGGAGGCGAAAGTAGAAAATCTTAGGGAAGAAAAGTTTTCGTCATTGTCAGGTTTCGAATCCAGGAACAACTGAATGAGAGGCGAACACCGTAATCTCTAGACCACGAGAGACCCCATATATAATATTATATATACATATACATACATGTAAATATACAGTGTATTTGGGTCATGCTCATAACAAACTAAGCCACAGTGCACGGCTGCTATCGTGGGGAAACTCTTACATAATTTGTTCATGACGAAAGACATAAGTGGCATATTTTGTTGGCCTACAACTTTTTAAAAAAATTTATTTTTCAAGAGGAACACTTAAAAAAAGATAATTCTCGCTCCTTCACAGAGACGCTTCCTGGGTGACGTTACATTCAAAAGTTGTAAGTGCAAAACGAAACACTCCAGACAAAACTGAAACAAAACAAAAACAGAAACCCAGCGCGTTAAACTTCTAATTAACGCTTTAGCCTGCATTTTTGTTGAAGCTTTGGCCAGCAACCTTGTATTTGTATCGCAATTTGTCAGCCTGCTCGAAACATTTCACTTTGAAAACTGTTAAAACTGCACACCAGATTCGGATCTGTCCCACCTGGTTTGAAACATTGCAAAGCAATAAAAAGAAGTTCGCTTCAGTTCGCGGTTCCCAACACCTCCAGATTACAAGAGCATTCTGCACGCGTACTGAAACCTGCCAAAATGAGGCAATGTAATTAGACAAGCTAATGAGGAATTAAGTTGAAATATTTTTTCCGTCATTTAAAGACGAAACGCTAGTTTCCTAACGTATGACATAGCTTAGCACCCAAAATTGCCCCGTTGCCTCGCATTTTATTTATTATTCTAGTAAACATGGATGAGGATAAACAATATTTGCTTTAGAAAATAAGAATACGTCACAATTTCTTTACTTTGCATTTTTTGGTGGTCTTCTCGAAACAACCTTGACAAAAGTTGTTTTTTTTTTTAAAAGGCTGCGTTTCACAAATGCTCCAGACGTCAAATATTTCCAGTGTTCTTTGTTGTGTCTGTTACAGACAAATTCCCGTATTTAAGAAGTGGTAAGAACATTTTGAACCCTCTCGGAATTCCAAGCAACTACAGTCTGTGTGCACTGCCCAGATTTCGAATGACCTTGTCGTACGTGCGTGTTAAAGTTCTCTCCTAGATTGTATTCTTGAATGGCTTTCGTGGGTGGTTGCTCTGGTGTGGTTTGCTCCTTTTCCCCCTATCAAATAACTAAAATAGTCCTTGTCTCCCTTTTTTTTTCGTTGTATGTTACTCTCTTGTAACACGTCTAATATTGGTGCTCATGGTATGAACTATTTGCATCGCAGGTGCTGTACAATTCTTGCTAAAACTCAGTTGAATGGTTTTCGTGTTGGAAAATAGATAATGATAAATTTAAAATATAAATGATGAATCATACTTTATTGGCCATACTGGGGAAATTTAGGTTACAATGGTTAACATACATACATAAATGCATAACCAAACACACAGAAATACCTGCAAAGTATATCAAATTCCCAATAACACACCTGTACAGAACAATTTCACATGCATGCTATTGTTGGTCAAGACAGTTTTTCATTGACAATGTACTTCATAGAAGTACAACGTTCTAGCAGCTCAATAATTAGTTTTTAAAAATATGACGTCATTTTTTAAAAGTCTCACAGTATGTCAAGCTTTTTTCGAATACAACGCTTTGAATATATTGATAATGACTCCGAACATTCGTACGATTTTGATGGAGCAGACAGAGAATTTACTTTCTGACCGCATGGTCTGAGTAACTCAAAACGACCGAAATTGTTAGACAGAACATTGTAATTTTTGTAAGCTTTTAACGTTGTTTTTCATTATAGTTGTTCTGTTCCTATGTCTGGATTAAAATAGTCTGTGTGTGTGTTTGTGTGTGTTTGTGTGTGTGTGTGTGTGTGTGTGTGTGTGTGTGTGTGTGTGTGTGTGTGTGTGTGCATTAATGTATATTGCATGAGAAGAAAGGAAGTAGTAAGAAAGGTTTTTGAAAAATGGGTATTCCAACGTAAAGCGCATTGAGCTACTTTTTTGGAAATGCGCTATATAAATGTTATATATTATCATTATTATTATTATTAATTCTGAGGTACTGAATGTACTCCACAGACAACAGAATATGGCGCTACAATGGCACCACTCTGGACAGTGACTACCCCAAGGTGCAGCGGAGGAAGTTTGCCGAGCTACCACGAGCAGCTTTAGCTATGAAAGACCATAAGGGAAGGACCATGGTGTTTATCTTTGGGGTACGTCGTTCGCTCAAGAACTACTTTATGTTACGAAATTTCAGTTGATATAGTTACTGGGATACTATTACATACACACATATATATATAATATATATATATATATATATATATATATAAAAATATTATATAATATATAGATATATATATAATATAATATTTTATATTTATACATTATATACATTCTTTCATTCAATTCGGGTGGGTGCTTTGTAGCTTTTTAAAGAGCTGATTGAGCTATGAATATCGATACAGCAGAAAGAAATTATAAACTCCTTCACAGTTCAAGAATTCAAATATATGAAACTCTGGGTTTACAATCTATAGTTCTGGCTTGGCAGATACTTCTTACAAGACAGAAATGATCTACCCCGAGTAAAACTGTCGTTTTGGGTTGGGTGAAACTGTCAGCTTGTTGTCGAGATAGCATCATAATTTTGCAATGAACATTACAAAAATAGATGATAATATCATGGCAGAAAGGCAGAAGGGAGCAGGCTGCACTGAGAGTACCCACTAACCCATAATGTTTAGACGAATAGATTACACATAGTCTGTTAAGTTTCCTGTTTCTTCTTTTAGAGCTTATTTTTAAGCTAAAAGACAGTAAATAGATTGTGTGTACCACTCATCGAGCATTATAGATGCTCATCCCCTAAGAGACTTAAACTGTGTCAATTGGGATGTTAAAAAAATTACAATAATTTTTCATAGATTGTGTTTTCCATTACCTGAACCTGGCAGATACATGTTCTTGCTTCCTTAACCCTTTCGTGCGGTGGTTTACCTCTTTACGGCCAAACCATGTAAAGAAACATCAGCGTATAACACTGAAAGAATTCAGAATTTAACCAGCTAGATTTAAAGTAAGACTTGTAACCCTTTTTTAAAAACGTAGCCTTTGTAAGGAAGACCAAGAAGGACCTGGCTGGATGGGATTAAAAAGGTCCTGGAACAACATAACCTATTTCTTTTTATTATTATCTATCACAGACGCCACATACTTAGTACAGGATAGAAATCTACACCTTCCCTCGACATCCTAAGAATACCAGTGGAAGGAAAAAGTAAAAAGTAAAAAGTAATTCTCTGTAAAGTCAAGAATTCTGCTGGGATCAAGGAATCTATATTACAATACCTATGTATTTAAACATTATGTATCCATCTCTCTCTCTCTCTCTCTCTCT